CACAAAGATGCACTGATGACCACTTACTAGATGCTACTTTTAATATAATTAGGGACCTACCTAAACCATGGCAAGACAAAGGAATTTTTGTGGGCCACTCACAGTGTGCGGCACCAATTTCTCAGTCTTTTCAGAGTGACACCCCCCCACCCCCACCCCCCCATTGTCCAAGAGGCCCGGCAACTCTGCCGCTTGCTGCTGATTGGCCAAGAAGCCAATCACTCATTTTCAGACTTGCAGTGCTGCAACACTACAGCTAGCTTCTTAAAAGATGGTGCCAAAAATCCATTCACTTCCCTGATTGGAGCCTTTACTGAGTTTTCATCTATAGTTCAGCCTCTCAGTAGCTCTCTCGCAAACCACATGCACTACAGCTGCAGGGACTGCTGCACTCTCTTTGTATTCCAGTAAGCTTTTTTTTTTAAAAAGGCAATTCTGCGCAAAATTGCAGAAAACACCATTTTTCACAGTGATCGCAGAAAATGCCATTTTTTGCAGTTTCTATTAAAATCATGAAACCATGATTTAAGTAGGTCCCTAAATATAATATAATGATAACTTAAGTAAGGGAGGGTGTTAATTTAAAGCCAACTAAGCTTTAGGATGCCAAGAGACTGTCAGCTTCTGATTAAGTTCCATGTCTAGACAAGCCCTAATTGCTAGAAACTGACTGTACGCTCAGTACCATAAAACAAACAAGGCCCCTACCTCAAGGCATTTGCTGACGGATGGTAGCAGCTCCATAAAAATAACCCTTTGAAGTATTTAAATGATGCCAGGTATTGAATCACTGATTCATCAGCGGGCTCTGTGGTGCACCTGGTATCATGTAATGCTTGCATGTTCAGTACTTATTGAAGTAACATCATCTTTATGAAACACATATTGCAATGAATACAGTATTTTAAATGTAATATGGGGTATATGATTCATAGATATAGGGTTGGAAGGGACCTTGTAGATCTTCTAGTCTGGCCCCCTGCCCTGGGCAGGAGAGAAAACTGGGCTCAAATGACCCCAGCTAGGTAAACGTCAAGCCTCCTCCTAAAGACCCCCAAGGCAGGAGCCAGCACCACTTCCCTTGGAAGTTGGTTCCAGATCCTAGCCACCCTGACTGCGAAGTAATACCTTCTAATGTTTAGTTTAAACCTACTCTCTAACAACTTACGGCCGTTATTCCTTGTTATTCCGGGAGGTGCTTGGGGGAACAAGGTCTCTCCCAATCCCCGCTGGTCCCTACCAGTAAGTTGATAGATGGCCACCAGGTCCCCCCTCAGCCTTCTCTTGCGAAGGCGGAACAGGTTAAGGCCCCGTAGCCTCTCCTCATAGGGTCTGCCCTGCTGTCCCCAGATCATGTGAGTGACCCTCCTTTGGACCCTCTCAATGCTGTCCACATCCCTCCTAAAGTGCGGCGCCCAGAACTGGATGCAGTACTCCAGCTGTAGTCTGACCAGTGTTGCATAGAGGGGGAGGATCACCTCCTTGGCCCTGCTTGTGATGCATCTGTGGATGCACGACAAGGTACAGTTAGCCCTACTGACCGTGTCCTCGCATTGTTGGCCCATGTTCATCTTGGTTTTTCACCTAGTCATCCAAGTCGCTAAAAAGGAAATTGATCAGTGCGGGCCCAAGGACCAAGTCCTGGGGGACTCCACTGTCCACTTCCCCCCAGGTTGAATATGACCCGTCCACCACCACTCTGAGTACTACCCCTCAGCCAATTTGCAATCCATCTGACTGTGTAGGCATCAATGCCACAGTCGCCTAGCTTTTTAATGAGAAAGGGGTGGGAGACAGTGTCAAAGGCCTTCCTGAAGTCCAGAAAGACTACATCTACCGTGACACCTGCATCCAATGATTTTGTGACCCGACTGCAGAAGGCAATCAGGTTAGTCTGACAGGAACTGCCCCTAATGAACCCATGCTGGCTGCCCTTAAGCATCATCCCTGATGCTGGCCCATCACAGATGTGCTCCTTGGTAATCTTCTCAAAGAGCTTCACCAGGATTGAAGTAAGACTAACAGGCCTATAGTTGCCTGGGTCTCCCTCTTCCCTTTTTTAAAGATGCTGAATCCCTGTAACATTACTTTTCACTATTTGATTAGTAAGGGATATAGCTCAATACATTTCAAAACAAAACAACAAGATGGCATGAAGTAAAACACTTCAGTGGGGACAGAAGCAAATTAGTAAAAGCAATCAGTACCATGAACTGATAACAATCATGATCTAACTGTAGTACTTCCTAACATGCTATATTAGTGGATAATCCATTACTATAATTGAAGATACTATAGCAAGGATACGCACAGAAGATAAACTGAATGTTTTCAAGAAAAGTATGTGCTATACAATGTCTGATACTTGAGTAACAGAGCTACTTGGAGTCAGTCCAGCAAGTACACCTGTCTTATAGTAGTTTTAGACAGCTGAACATCAAGTAAAGTATTATATCCCTGTGGCGTTTGAAAGCTGAAAGCATCAAAAAAGTGGTAAAAATGCTAGATAGTAAAGACATCAACAGACATTCTACCCATTCTTTGGGTGCAGCCAGCAAGACAACTTATTTTAGCTTCTGTAAAACCCATAGAGCTAAAAAAAAGTTGGTAAGTCTTCTCTTTAAATGTACCCAGACTCTAACTTATTTTATACCCATTTCTGCCACTTGAAATAATCCTTCAATACTGTCAATACATTTTAAGGCTATTATAAATATCTTTTAATTTACCTAGATTTTTTTGTATAAAAAAAAATTCCCCCATTTTTCACAAGTAATGCTAATGAATATTTATGTCCATTAATACTTTCCATTACATTCACCAAGTTAGCTTTTGTAGAATTAGTACTTCAGCTTTAACACATCCAACTGGACCAAAACTGCAGCAGTTGAACTTCTGAAGATCTGCCACCAAGTGACAGAACCAGTGTACATCACTTGACAGATCAGTTCCCAGTGAAACACCAGAACTGATTTCAAGACATAAGCCTTCCCGTTTACACCTTCCATTGCATTAAAAGGACCAAGACTTGCACTAATAGTGTACTTTCAGAACAAACTTAAACGCCCAAAGAACAGACACTTTGCAGCAACTAGCCTAAAGCTAAGGAAATGCTTTTCCACAGGATTCCCCTCCAAAGAACCTAGCCTTTCAAAGACAGAGGAGAAAGAGTTGCATATACAAAGTGAAGGAAAAAATCTGCAGTTTAAGAGCAAATATAAAGTCCAGCCTTTTTGATCACGCATAATTTCAATGAGATGAGTAATTGGCAGGGATCGAGGTTTTCTGTTTGCTGCAGAAAACCACTTTTTTTTTTTTTATATATATATAAAGGAGAAAGAAAGCAAGCAGAAAAACCACAGGCTTTCTCCTTTAAAGGAGAAAACCATGGAAAATCATGGGTGCCCCTTGGAGGCTGGCAGAGTTCCAACCTGCAAGGGGCTGCTTGGGGTTAGAAAAAGCAGAAGGATGGCAATCAAGCAGGGGGTATCACATGCACATGCATGTGCACACATTCACATGGCAGCCAGGCAGCGCAGAAAGCAGCTGCAGCAAGTTCCCACAGTGGAGGGGGGCTTCTGGTAGTGGTGCCAATAGCCCTGCCCAGCTCTGCCCTCCCACACTGGGTCCCCACCCACTAGGCCACACAGCCCGCAGGACAGCCCGCATCCTCCTGCCCCCACAGACTCCACTCCAGTCATTCTGCCCCAAAGTGGGGGTTCTGCTCCAGCCAGCCTCGCTTGGGTGCTGCTGGGACAAGTAGGGGGCTGCAGACCATGGCGCTGTCCCAGTAGCCTTGGCAGCTAGGGGCTCCTCTGTGCAGCTGGACCTACATCCTGGTGAGCAAGAGAGGCAGGGGAGCTCTGATTTTCCACAATTAAAATAAACCAAAAATCAAATGCCAAAGTATATAGATATTTATAATTTATGATAGTGATTTAGGCACTGGTAAGATTCCAAATTGCTTTACAATTGTAAATATATCAATAAAACATTGTGCTCAACTGATACTTACTTAGCGGTGTTTCATTTTAATCACAGAAGAACACGGAATTTGGAAATTAATGAGAACTTTGGATTTTTTTTATTTTTTTTTTTAAATCAGAAACTTTGCTATTTAAACCCTGGTGACCACAATCAGAGACAGTCTCTCTGCTACACTATGCTCTCCTGCACTACCTAAGCAACACAAAAGGAGCAGGAAGAATTACTGCCCTGCTGCATATGTCCCTGTTATGAAGGAGTTCAGAAAAAGCACAGATTCTGCCCCGCTCCGACCCCAAACAATCTACCATTATGTCAATGCCAAGGAACCGCTAATCTGCTTACCATACACCTATTATCTGAATTCCTATTACAGAACTAATTAGAGTAAACAACATTATATAAAGGTCCAGGGAGTATTTTAACCAACATATTTACTGAATTCATACTTGAAATGAGACTTAATCTTTTACTGTAAAATCTGTTCACAAAATAGTTACTCAACTGCTAGGCATGTCATTTATGTCATGAAAAACGAAATCCAGATGTGACCACTAGCACAAAAATAAGCCAGGCTAGTGGTATTAAAAGTCAGTCTAGCTATAAAGATAGAGATGGTTGGTTCTTTTGCCCTTCAAAGACCTGAAGCATGCCCAGCACCCCCCTCCAGCCCTGCCTCACAAGATGATTTCACCACACACTCATTCAGTCAACCCACGCACTTGAAGGAAACCTGCTGATGAACTGCCTTAACAGAAGAGACACACTAGACTGACAGCAGCAGAGTGGAAATTTCCTTTCCTTCTCTATTCAAGCAGCAGGGTCTCATTTCCATGTGAATACAGGGCAGCTCACACCAGAGCCCAGCTCTTGACAGACACCAAGGAGACCTTGGCACCACAAAGGCAGGGCACCCCCCCCACGCATGTTCTGATGTCGGCTCCTCCTAACCATTTCAGGACATCATTATTCATCGAGTTTATCTGGGCCCGGCTGCGTTGGGCAACTCTCTCTACCCCGTGCCGTGATGTCTGTTGGTTTTAGCAGCACCATTCCTGAATCTCTCGGCTTCACCAAAGCGGGAGGAAGAGGCCGGGCGCCCTCCGGAGCCAACACAGCTGCTCGGCCTGCAGGATGCTTCACCCCTCGCGTCCCCCGCTTCACCCCTCGCGTCCCCGCTCTCTCCAGAACAAACACTGGCCCAAGAGCCAAATATTTTGCCTCCCAGCAGAGACGCCCTCAGCCAGCTCGCGGAAGGGGAAGGGAGGCGACGGGAAAACAAAAGCAGCGGTTTTTTGCTGGCCCGGGCGAGGCTGCAGGGGCCGCATGAGCTGCCGAGCACCCCCCAGGAGGGCCCCGGAGGCTGCAGCAGTAGGGAGCGCGCCACGCG